CCCAGCCTACAGACGATTTCGACCTCGTCTGCATCGTCTACACTACGCAGTATACGAAGTACCTCGCACTACACAACAACGGGGCCCAAAATAAGGAAGCATCTGCGACTCTGCAGGGCTTGGGACATTGACACAAGCTTTTTGTTCCCAGCTTGTCCCCGGCTAACCTGCCTCGCATCCCATTCCTGGTCCTTTCTTGGCTTGGATCGTCGTCGGTTGGTCAAGTCCAGGCCCAGTCTTTCCTCTCCGTTTGTCTGTTCGTGTGCTTGTGCGCGTCCATCTCTTCCAACGGTTGAAACCCTTCGCCTGGGCCCGGTGTCGCTCTTTCCGGCGCATTGGACCAGTATCGCCAGACGCCCCCTCCCCTGGTCCCCTTTAGAGGTTTCTGTCTTTCTCCGAACCTCACATCCGGCCCATCCGCGCGTCGTTCGCCATCTTCTACGCGACATTTCACATCTTTCTAACATCGCCCTCGCGCTCTCTCGCGCTCTCTCGCGCTCTCGTCTCCCCAATGCGTGTCTGGGTGTGAGTGGGCTGCTGCTGCTTTTCTTTTACCGCGTTCTGTGCCTCTCACCTTACCCTTCGCCGGCACTGTTCTTTGGGTCGTTTGGAATCCCGTCCAGGAATCCGTCACATGGTCGACAACACGCAAGCCCTCAACCGAGTCTTGCCACACGTGTAAGGAGCGAAAATAAGCACTCACTCGCCCTCGTCTGTGGGAGCCGCAATCCCCGAGCAGGAGCCGGGTCTTGCGGTTTTACGAAGCAGACGCCGTATACCTGCTCTACGAAGTACAACAAAGTATAGGCGACTACTCTCAGAGACCTGGATCTGAACGGGAACTGGGACTGACCAGGAACTGCACCATTCGGCCCACGTTCCGTGTTCCGTGTTCCGTGTTCCTTGTTCCTGGATCAGGTTCTGTCCGAGACCTATTTGACAATGACATCCCTCAGTAAGCTTTCTTTATCGTCTCTCGAGACATGTTTCTGTTTTGTTTTTTTGTTCTCCATCTGTTTTACACCTCTTTCTTCTTCCCCCCCCCCC